TATGTACCTTCTATCCCTACACTGTGAAGAGTTTTGATCAAGAAAGAATGCTGTCAGATGCTTTTTCAGCATCTATTGAGAGTATCATATGGTTCTTGTTCTTTCTTTTATTAATGCATTGTATCACATTGATTGATTTGCAGATGTTGAACCAATCCTGACCTCCTTTAAATGGGAATTGCTTGTACAAATTTACATTCTGTGAATAATAAACTAGGAGGCTCTCATACATTCTTGGAAATTCCAGTAAGTTTTCTACAAGGGCAGAATGGTTATATGTCTTTGAGATAACCTCCCATGGCTAAAAATCCTACATTGCAACAATTGCCTCTGTTGCAAGGACTACTCTTTGGGGATGCCTCCCCAACTCTTAATGGAACTTAACTTAATTCTTTCACCATAATCAGATGGAAATGTCTAGCTTCTAAAACCAGTCACAAGCTTCCTCTCACCACTACTCCCTATCAAATGCCACATCTGAATATGGTTGTCATGCTTCTAGCCTCCTGCATGATGTGAAGGAACTTCCACATCATGGGCAGTTCTGGGCCCTGCCCTTTCTTTTTCTTTTTCTGAGACAAGAGGATGGGCTTAGGATAACAGTTAATTAACATTTCACACTCCATGAAATATAAAAGTCCTCCAAATGGGATAAAATCTCATTACAACTTCCCTTGTGTTTATTTGAACTGAAAAGCAAAACCACTGCTCCTTAATATACATAGTGAGGTCTACATATCAAAGAGCCTAAACAGACCTCAAGCAAGAGTTTGCATATGTTCCTGCAAATCTTCTGCCCATACCATCTACCTGATCTACTTCTCTCAGAATCATTTGTGCCCATTGATGACCTACCGCATACACAAGTATTTTTCTTGTTTATTACCCATCTCCCCCATTAGAATGGAAGCACCATGGGGCAGAGGGATTTTGTCTGTCTTGCTCCCTGTTTTTTCCCAATAGTGCTTGATGGACAGTTGATGCTATCAGTAGGATTATCCTGAAATGAGAGAAAACTTTGGGGGCAAGTGGTTTATTTGAGAGATGATACCAGATACAAGAAATGAGGAATGAGAGGAATAAGGCTGGGGAGGAGGAAAAGTCAACTAGAGGCACCTGGGTGGCTCAGTCGGTTAAGTGTCTGCCTTTGGCTCAGGTCATGATCCTGGGGTCCTGGGATTGAGCCCCATATTGGGCTCCCTACTCAGCATGGAGTTGCTTCTCCCTCTCCCTTTACTACTCCTGTCCCCCTCTTACTCCCCCTGCTTGTACTCTCTCTCTCTCTCTCTCTCAAATAATAAAAAAATCTTTAAAAAAGGAAAGAAAAGTCAACTAAAGGGAGGTTATCAAGGCCATTGCTAGAGGCAAAGGAACTTTAAGAAGACTCCAGAAACTTCTGGGGATGATCCATACAGAGAACAGGAAATGGGCTCCTATCCCCACTGGTTGAGGGTTGTCCTCTGGGATGTTAAGACCTTTACACTTCCAGACTAAACATCTGCCAGGGCTGAGCTTTGAGGCAGAGAACTGCAGAGGGGTGCTTTAGAAGCTTGAAATGGGAACACTGTCTGAATGCTCAAAACTGCCCAGTCCAAAGCCAGCTAGAGCCAGAGGTGGGACATGGAGCCCTGGTGAAGGGCACCAAAAGCATCTGTCTTAAGAGGTATTAAGTAAGAATCTTTTAATGAATAAATGGATTCTCCTTAATGCAGATAGGCATATGCCTTAACAGGAAAAGTGGGATCCCAGGCCCATCTTGCTTTAGACGTGGCCAGAGTTATTAGTACCCTCCGACCCATTAAGAAGGAAGACTCATTACTATGGTCATGGAGTACAGACACCTTTTAAGTTTTTATTTTCCCAGAGGATCTTTGATAACATATCCCTGCTCAGAATCTGCTCAGAATCCCGTTCCTAGGGGGTGAAGTGGCTACAAATTTATTGCAAGTTATAAAGGTCTCCTGCAGGAGTCCTTCTTTCAGCTTCTGGTAATCCTTGTCACTTCTCATTATATAAGGCATTTTTACTCTGGTGTCTTGGCCACTCCTTATTTGTTTTTTTACTAGCTCCCTCTTCTCCACTCACCTTCTTGCTCTCATTCCTCAGGGTGGGCCTATTCTGCCTGTCCTCCTAGGTACCCCCCATGACTCCCAGGCTAGAAGCCATCTCCTCCCGCCCCCAAAGACTCTGGTCCACACCTCCAGTGCTTCTGTCCTGGGCTTAGGGCTCATTCTCAACCTGCTCCTAGACCACCAGTCCACAAGCAATGAGCTCAACCCACCCATGAACAACCAATCACTCATTACCTACCTCATCCCCATACCCCAAACCTGCCCTCACACCTGAATTCCCAGTCTTGAGGAATGCTTCACTTACCCCCTTTTCTCACAACATGGAGCCTCAAGGTCAGCCTCAGTCACCTAGTTTCATCACCCCTATAGGTTTCTCAGACACCAAGAGGTTAATAGTGGCTGTCACCGGATGACGGAATTTTTCTTCTTTTTCTACTTTTATGATTTTCCAAATTATCTTTGATGAACACTTTAGTTTCATAATGTTCAATATGTTTCATAACAACTAATACGCTTCATAATGCATTATAATCCTCAGTGTAAATCCATCTTGATCCCTCCCGGCCCTCCCAGCAGATCATGACTTACAAGCCTCTCCCCGCTGGGAACACCTTGCACATCACAACCAGACACATCTTTCTAAAATCAGAGTCTCATTCCTTCACCCCCCCAAAAAACAAAACATTTCTCTGGGGGCATCTGGGTGGTTCAGTAGGTTGATTGACGGACTCTTGATTTCGGCTTAGGTCATGATCTCAGGGTCCTGGAATGGAGCTCCCTGCCCAGGCTCTGCACTCAGCCTGGATCCCTCTCTCTCTCTGCTCCCCACCCCCACTCACTTGTGCACTCTCTCAAATAAATAAGTAAGTCTTAAAACACACACACACACATTTCTCTGAGATCATCTCCCACCTCTTCCACCATGATAGTCCCCCTAATACATCAGACTCACTGGGGGGGTGTCTGTTAATTTGTTTTTTCTGCTCCCCCATTTCATTGTCACCATTGTCCATACTGCATCCCGAATGCCTGGCACAAAGCAGGTGTTCAACAAATACTTATTAATTAAATGTATGGAAGAAAGGGCGTTAAGTCACTGGCTTACCACAGAGAAATTCTATAGCAGTGGTTCTCAAAGTGTGTTCAGGGGACCACCAGCAGGCGCATCACTGGGGCACTTGTTAGAAATGCAGATTCTTAGGGCCCACTTCAGAATCAGAAGTTTTGGGGCTGATTGAACAAGCCCTTTAGGTGATTCTGTTTTATAACAAGTTTATGTTCCCAGAAATGTCTTGGCCACAGTCACAAATGAAACTAGTTTCTCCAACTGAACTGCACAACCCTTAGCAGCCTCGTGGGAAAACCACCGGAAAACATTTTAAGCGCCGCTGTTTCAAAAACGTTGCTTGCGGGTTGCAGAAATACAACAGCCTCTAGAGTTTAGAAAAGGGGATGCAACCAGCGGTGCTCCCAGCCAAGCTCCCTCGGCCATCCCGGATCCCGACCCTACCCCCCACCCCGAAAGAGTCCTCTCGCCCCGGCCATCTCGGGACGTCCACTGCTGAGTACTGGTGCCACTTTTGAAAGAAGCACTTCCAAATCCTTCTTGAGGGAAAGGAGTGGGAGAAATGGAGGGTTCCGGGACGGGAGGAGGCATGGATGCGGCCCGGAGGTCTTGCGCTGGGAGGCTCGGCGCGCGAGGCGGCCAGGGACAGGTGGTGGAGCCTCGGCTAGGCTCAGCTCTTCGCGCTTTTCTTTGCCGTCGGTGAAATGGGATTGGCAGTGCCTTTGGCGGAAAGGCGGCGAGCTCGAGCGCCCACCCAAACGGCCTCAGAGCCGAGATGGGTTTGGCCACTACGGCGCACTGGCACGGGTCGCCTCGCTCGGGAGCCAGAGGCGCGATGGCATAGGGAAGGACTTAGGGCGGCCTCGGCGCCTCCCTTGGCCCCTGCGAGTGGTGAGTGACCAGGGCGAGGTCCTCAAGCCAAAGCTGAGCAGCCCGCGCTGGAGCCGGGATCCCGCGGGGGTGTGAGAGCTCAGCCACTGGAGGAAGGTGGGAGGGGCGGATGCCACTGCGGGAGGGGAACGCCCAGGGAGGGCTCTTTGGGACACTCGCTGGCGCCACTTGGCGACCAGGAGCCGCACGCTCCCCGAGCAGGAGTAATTCGGCCCAGAGGAAAACAGCCCTTTCCCAAACTCTGAGCCAAGTCCTGGGGTGTCATCCTCACTTTACAGCTGCGTGAACAGAAGCCTGGAACTCCAAGAGCCTGCTGCAGCCGAAGCCCTTTCACTAACCCGGAACACCTGCCCTCGGAGTCCGAGAGAACCTCTAGGGCTTTTCATGGGGCGAAGAAGAAAGTGAAGACCCCCTCCCTCCCTCAAGAAGCCAACTCACTGGTCCAAAAACAAACAAACAAACAAACCATTGCTGCCTGGGATGCTGGGGGGCAGGGAACACCCTCTCCAGCTCCAAATTACACTTGGCTGACACCCAGCCCTGTCTAGAAACCCCCGCCCCCCACCCTGCTCTAGGTTTCCTTTCCGGCCCCTCTGGTCCCCAAGGCGGACTAAACTGGGGAGCTTCTCCATCCTGAAGGAGATTCCCGACACCTCGGTTTCCCACCCTGGAAAGGGAGAGAGAGCAGGACAGAGCTGGGAGAGGAAGAGACAGAGACGGGGGCTGGACACCGGACACCCCGCCTGCGAGGGGTTAACCCGCTCCACTGGGCCATTGCCCCCTCTCTCCCAGGAGCCACTTCAATCGGTTGTCGCCCCAGTGGCCGCCCTCTGAGCACGTGTTGCTGCCGGTCTGCGTCAACGCTGAGTAAACAGATGACTGGCTGACAGAGCCGGGAGGGGCTATTTAAGAGGCAGCGTCCTGCCGGCCCACCTGAACTTGGCTCGGCTCCCTCGCCACTCCACAGCCCGCTGCGTCCTACTCTGAAGGTAGGTTCCCCGCGGGGAATCCAAGTGTCAAGTTGATTTGGGAATGCCGTCTTCAATTTTGTGCCCCTTTCGTTTTATTTTTCTGTTTTCTGTGTCTTCTTCCCAACAGCTCGAAAGACATTTCTTAAAGTCAGAAATAGCAGGGAGGTCTGGGTGGGTAGAGCTGCTTGAAAGACTTCCAAGCGCCTGCTTTGTTCTGGTCGGCAAGCAATGCTGGCGTATCTATTTGCGAGGATTAGCATGCAAATTGGGATTTGCTAGATGTTACACAGAGGTGCAGTGTCCTTTGCAATCTCTGCAAATAAACTATCAAGGGGTTTTAAGATTGAAATTAATTTTCTAAATACTGCAGAAAAATTCAAGGCTTTGGGGATAGAAACGTCCGGGTGTTGTATCTGCTGGTGGATCTAAAAGGCAGCGGCGCTTTGCCAAGGACAGAAGACTGAGCGCATATTTCGGATTTTTAAAAACCCTTCCTGTGTTTTGCACAGTAGTTTATTGCCAGTTCCCATATGCACCTTAAAGAAACTTTATAAATATGGCTTTTCTTTTTTGTCCCCTCATTTTAAGCCGTGCTTCTCTTTTTTCACCCTTTAATTCCCCAGTGGAAAGCTTCTTGGCATCCAGGGTCTCATTTCTCCCACGGTGTCTTCTCTTTAAGAGATTTTCCCAGCTTTAATCTCTTGCTTTCAGTTAGAAGTCAGACGCTCTAACCACACTTTCTGAAACAAAAGGAAAACAGAAGACATTTCTTATGCTAGCCAGGGCAGAAGACAGGGTCTCAGTCCGCTTCCCCGGGGCACCGGGTGTGGTTCACCCAAAAGACAAACGGGGTGTGCCCAGACGCGCGGGCTGTGGCCGCTTGGCTTACATCGGCGCCTGGTGAGCCCTCGTATGTGCACCAGTGTGGCGGGCCCGGGGCCCTGCGCGTTTGGACGGAGCCCCCTTTTCCGTACCCCAGTTGCCCCAAGCCTCCACAAGAGCCTGCGATGCCCTCGCCACCAACATCCCGCCACCAGTCGTTCACGTCCCCTCTCCTTTGCTCTCCGCAGCCATGAACAGCGGCGTGTGCCTGTGCGTGCTGCTGGCGGTACTGGCGGCGGGCGCCCTGGCCCAGCCCGTACCTGCGACCGACCCGGTGGGCCCAGGGGCGCAGCAGGAGGAGGAGGCGCCCCGGAGGCAGCTGAGGGCCGTGCAGAAGGTGGACGGCGAGCCCCGAGCGCACCTGGGAGCGCTGCTGGCCAGGTACATCCAGCAGGCCCGGAAAGGTACGGATGTTCATTCATCTGTAAGGTCCTTCCCCTCGCTTCTGACCCGTTGCGGGCCTTCCAATCCTGACCCTCTTCCCTAGCATCTGGCTGATGAAGGGAAGTAACCCCTGGGAAGGACATGCAAGGCGACACGTTAAGCTAAAGATTTTTCACTTTCTTCCACTCCCACTCCCACCCCGCCCCAAATTGCGCTGCGGCCAGGACAGTACAGTTTTCTGGACGTCCTTTGTAGCAACTGAGAATGAGAGTGGAGGATTCAATTCATGAAGGAAAACCTTTTTAAAAAAGCTTTCTTGAAACTAGTATTTCGCACGTGTTGCTGTTAAGTTCAATGCCATATTATAAAGACATTAAAAGATAATGACCGATAATGACTCTAGAAGGGTTTGCCAATCTACTACATACCTAACACTGTAAATGCAGAAGAGCCAGGAGCCACCCAGATAGTGACACTGGGAAACCCCTAGCAGGAAGGGATCCATACCAAGAATGCTCCTGAGTTCTGATGGCAAGACAGTTGAAAAAGCAGTGACAATGTCAGTTTTCACCAAAGAGTGTAACAGGTGGAAAGAATCAGTAGCAGTTTTGAGTTCTCCTTGGCCGTGATTGAAAATGATCACTCAGGAGACCTGTTTGTTCTTATTTTGCTGTTGGAGACACGGTCCCAGTTGTGGCAGGAGTGGGCACAAGCCAGGTTTCTCAGCATCAAAATCTGTCTCCAGGAATAAGTTGATTCGGTGTCTCGCTAGCTGGGTGACATAGTGACAGCCAGAACCCTTTCCTGGGCCTGCCTCATCTGTAAAGCAGGGGTGAGGCTAGAGTTCCCTTAGGTCCCTTCTAGCTCTTTGTGTGATTCAGAGAGAGGCCAGTGCATCTGTAGTGGCCTTAGGAACCATGACTGTGACTGGGGTAATTTTTTTCTACCAACTTGATCCACAGGGACACTGATGTCACACACCGGCTATGGGGCCGTGTGCTAAGCTGGACCAACACAGCTGGACAGTAAACCGCAAAAAAACCAACCAAACAAAATATGCTGCTGGGAAGGGTGGAGGGCGGAGGGTGGCTCCTTTCCCAGGAGGCTCTCTTACCCTCCCATGTGCCAGGGCCTAGATTTGAACCTTACTTAGCTCATGGCTTGACTAGACAAGGAGAAAACGATGGGCTCGGCTTTCATATGAAGGTTTTATATGAAGGTAAGATCGGAGCTTTTTGACCAGGGCAATTCAAAAGGAAAAAGAACAATAGAATATGATTTGTTATATTTTGCCCTCTCCTCCGGAAATTGTCCCAGCTACCATCTTCATTTTGCTTTCCGGCTAATTAAATTGAGAGGTGTGGAACTACTAGTCAGATGACAGAGAAAGTCTGAAAACTTTTGGAGTTCCTATTGATTGTCTGTCTCAAAGTAATTTAATATCTGTCCTTGGATGTAGGTTGAATTTCAGCCAGACCAGTCTGAAATATCACAGGTTTTTCAGAGAGCCGTAATCTGGAACCGCCTCCCCACATTCAGGAAAGAGCCACCAGAAATAGGTCTGGGAAAGAAGCCAGTTACCAAACTATTTCCCCTGAATGGACACTTGACAGTGGCGTTATGCTACAAACCTTAGCTGGAAGTTTCTTCTTAGCATCTCTTCTCAGCCACCTCCTCCCTTTGCCTGTAGAATGTCGTGCCCAACAAGCCCACGTGGGAATGGCAGCCCCGGGTACTTTAGCTGCCAACACCCACCATGAGCACTAGGTAGAAAACAATCACACTCTTCTCTTTGACAAATACGAGCCAGGAAGAAATATTTATCCCCATACTGTTTCTTTGACTATTTTGAGAACATCTTGGATATCTCCTCAAGTATAGTACTTAGGTTTAAAGATTCTAAACACAGCCATGTACTCCTTGAGGAATGCTCAAGAGTTTACCATCAGGAACTGCGCGCACAGTTTTCAGTGAGGGAGGGAAAGCAGTTCTGTTGGGGGCAGGGGACATCTAGCTTACACCTACCCCACAGCCCACGAAGCTCTCATGCTTATATCGGTAACATCCGGTAACATCCGTACTGTCTCCTGGTCCTCAAGGAAGCCCTGCTTAGTGAGTCCCTTTGTCCCTGTGGCAGCTGGGGCTCTAGGAGAATGTGTAACCTACGTGACTTTGCTCACCTCACAGTCTGTTCCAGCCCTGCCCTCGCCTGAATGTCTGGGAGCCATTCAGCTTCCCAGCTGTACTGCCCATTCGGGGTTTCAAAGTTTAAAGGAGCCAGGCCCTTCCATTCAATTCTGTAAACCAGTTGGAGTTCCTACCTCGAGTCGCTGTGGGGAAGTGAGCAGGGACCCTGGTAAATGAGCACAGCGTGTGGAATGGGGGAACTAAGATGCGTAACCAGCGCAGCTACCAGGACTGAAAATGTGGTCCCCTCCCCAGCCCCACCCCCCCACAACCCAGGCTGCTTGCACACATCGAAGCTGCCACTTTGCCTTCATTAACTGGAACTTGGAGCTGTGCCCAGCCTTTAATGGGGGCATTCATCAGCAGCAGACAGAAGGATGGGCCATACTTGTGTTAACTGTGTATAAGTAACTGGATCTGCAAGGTTTTTTTTCAACGTGAGGACTAATATTTCACCTGAAAAACACAGAACAATTAAACAGCTGGCTCTGTTTGCCTTTTGCATAGGCTGGAGATACCTGTGAAGGGGCTGGAATGTGCTGGGTTGACTCTTAATTCCGAGGCTGGGAAGTGATTGAGGTAGGGGTTGGGGGAGAAGAACGGTTGGGGACATGGCTCTGTATAATTGTTTCTGGTTTTTAATGTAGCTGGCTTTACCTGGTCATCCAATAAGACAGAGGAACTGCTCCTGCAAGCTCGTTTCTCAATAAATTAGCCATGGTCTGACTCTTTGCTGCCTGTGGGCAGGAGCTAGCAAGGGCAGCCTCATACAGAAGGGCTGAATGACAACATTACAAGCAGTGGGAACACAGTGGCCCTATGGAGCGATCTTAGAGTCCCCTGGGCTTTGCCCTTCGAGGTCCCTGAGGGACCTTTCTTGTCTCTTAGCTTGCACAGAAGAAGGCATGATACTGATTTCATATCCAGAAGGCCACAGTCTGTGATCCATGGGTCAGGACTGTGTCACATGTCCCCAAAGAAACTGCTTCTTCATGTCCCTGCTCCCTCAATGTCAGTTACACCTGAGAACCATCCTGTTCCTGAGGATTTCACTCCCATCCCCAAGGCCCGTTGCTCATTCAGTTATTGCATTTTGTCCAAAAGGGATAAATGAAATAACCCCCGCATTATCTCTCTGCCCACTCTTCACTGAGTGTTACCGACGTAAGATTTTTATCTGACAGGGTGCCTTTTTCTCAATATCACTTTCTAAAAAGAAAGTAGTTTTCAAATTAATTTCTAAATAGTATTTGCCTAGCAATGGGACTTGACTCATTTTTTAAAAACCATTCAACATCAAAATATTGTATATTGTACTTGTGTTACCTTAACAAGAGTACTCAGGTATGCTTGGGATCTTAAGGAGTGAACTTCAGAAATGGGTAAATACCAAGGAACCTTGCTTCGCATCTGCTGAGGACCAGCTACATAAGAGAAACCATCCCCACCCCCAGGAGTAGGGAAACCAAGGCAGGTCCCACAGTTGGTAAATCCTCTGAAATCCTTACATATTGGAAGTCATACCCCTCACTAGTAAATATTACCCTCCCAGACCTGGGTCCTTCTCTTAGATTTTGATCCAGCAAGCCCACTACTCGATAACTCCTTGATACCTTTAAGAAGGTGCATGTTACATATTGTCTGGCTTTTCTCATTGTTCTCCTTTACAGATTGAATTAGCGATGCTCTTAAATATAATGGCCCTGTTTCCTTTTCCCTTGCGCCTTGTAGCTCCTTCTGGCCGAATGTCCGTCATTAAGAACCTGCAGGGCCTGGACCCCAGTCACAGGATAAGCGACCGGGATTACATGGGCTGGATGGATTTTGGTCGTCGCAGTGCTGAGGAGTATGAATACCCCTCCTAAGGGACCCCGCCTTTGTCAGCACACCAGGAAACGACCTCCGGGCTCAGAGGAGGCAGAATAAGAAAACAATCACACTCTAACTCATTGTCTCTGAAGTCTGACATTTTAAGTATTTATTATTTTTCAATGTGAAAAACATGTCTGTACGATTTTCCAGTGCAACCTCACACCTCACCAGAATTGTACAAATGGAAGACAAAACATTGTCCTCATCTGTGATGCCTGGTCCTAAAGTGTTGCTATGCTATTAAACTGATTTCATTCTGCCCCCTCATTCCCTGTGTCGGTCGAGCACCAAGACGCCATTTCATCCTCAGGACCCTCAAGGAAGGAAACCTGATACGTGGTGCCCAAAGACAAAACCATCGGTAGATGGTTCCAGAGAAGGGTCCAGAAACAAGGGCCGGGCATCGGGCTGACTTCTCTGCTGTTGGCCAAGTGACCAGTGAAAGGGCCTTTTGGGTCAGCCCCATGGCCCAGCCCTACCCACCCTGGGCCTGGGGCCCCAGCTGGGGTCCACTGTAAAAAGAGAATGTGCCCTGCTTGTAGTGAGCACTCATTTGTCTGGGTAAAGACCAGACAAGCAGCTTGGGATGGAGCCTTCCTTCCATCTGCCCATTCCCACAGGATGTACCAGCCCCATCCCACACCAGAATTTCCTCGGGGTTCTCTTGGCCTTTAAACAAATTATGGGGCAATGCCGGTCAGTGCTTTCACATCCCTTGGATCTCTCCATGGCCCTGTGGCACAGAAGTTATTGTCCTTTTACAGATGGGGAAACAGGCCCTGAGAAGTAGAAGTGGCTGGGCCACAGTCCAAGGTAACAAGATTCACAGATTCAATCATTCCCAGGTAGAGTGACCTCCATCACCCCAGCCCTTCCAGACTCTGGAATGCATATGAACCACCAGGAAGTCTTATGACCCACACACTCTGATTCAACAAGTCTAGCCTTGGGCCTGAGCAAGCTCCCGGGTGATACCAGCACAGCGAGGCCTGGGCCACACTTGGGGTGGCAGTGGTCTTGAGAGGAGCCTGTGATCACAGTCCCCTGGGTCTCACCGTATTTCAGAGACTTATTTCAGGGCATGTTGGATGATTCTGGTAGCTATCCAGAGCAGAAGCTCTCCTTCCTTGAGCCAATCCCTCCTCTAGGTCTCCGTAGGAGTCTGTAAAAGAAATTATGTTAAGGGGGCACCCGGGGATAATCTGACGCCTGCCACCCACAGTGCAGCCTTGCCATGTCTCCTGGCCAAGGCTTCCAGGAACCTCAGGTTCTTATCCAGCAAAGGCCACAGATGGCTTGCTGCAGCCAGACATGAAGCCCCAAAGGAACAGACATTGGAAAGAATGTTGGCAAATCTATAACTGGTCCCGAATGGGCCGTCCTCAGCCCAGGGCTACCCTGCAAGCCCTTAGTGCCAGCTTCCTGGTTGATAGAAAGAGGACGCCAGGAAAGTCCTCAGAGGAAGAGGACTTTGCAATTCTTTAAGTTGAACTGAAGTCAGCATTCAGTGTAAAACTTGGACTCTGAATAGACAACTCATTATATTCTTACCTTGTGAGGTCATTACCTCATTCAGTCCCTACAGTTTGGTCTCAAAGATTGCTTCATATCTCAGGGGTCCAAGCCCTGGCCCCATACCCAGATGCGTATGTTTTTAGTGCAGAACACACATCTCACAAAAAACAATTTTTTTTTCTGGGTGTGCAGGGGATCTTGGGTACAGATGGGAGTATGTGTGTGTGTGTGTGCGCGCGCGCGTGCGCATACGCACACATGTATGTGTGGTTGGGTGGGGAATGGTGAAAGACTTGGAATTTAATATTAAATCAGCAATGGAGAATGGGTGACAAAGGCTCGATCAGAATTAGTAATTTATAAATCATCAGGGAAGTGAATGGTAAAATATCATTTTCAAAGATAAAAACATGAGTCATACAAATATAAATGAACACACATCAAAGATGTCATTTAAGTCATTAATAGAGACCAGTAAGATGTCAATCATTTCAAAGGGCAGTCTGAAGGACAGACACACAGAGGCAGTCAAGAATGCTGAAATGAAGTTGCCAATAGATACAAATCAGGGTTGTATCTTTAGGCCAGTAAAATATAATGTTTGGAACAACCTGTTATCCAGGACAGAAAGTAGGTGTATTTTTCAGGGATGATGTTCACTGGCATTTCTACAGCCAAGAATCATTTACAGGACTGTCCGTTTTCTATGGCTTACAAAGTTGCCCAGTCAGAAACACAGGCCTCAACAACATAGGATCCATGCCCAGCATCCCACTGAAAGGATACCCACTAATCTCCTTTGCTCATTTCAGTCTTTCACAGCTCTTTCTAATGCGGGAAAGGGAAAGGAAAAGGACATTTTCTGACCTCTCCTGGGGTGCAGGACTCTGTACAAGGAGACTCGTGAGCACCAGCTTGGGATGCTGTCCCAATCCTGCAAGCAAGGTGACCCCACTTTTCAAAGAGGAAGCTGGAGCTCAGAGAGGCTCGGTGACTTACCATGCACTTTGCCCACACATGGTGGCATCAGGGTTGAAGCAGTTGGTTCCAAACTTTTAATGAGGCCACCTGGAGGAGATATCTAGAGTTTGGCCAAGAAGGGGCTTGGAGACTCATCTAGAAGCTTTGTCTACGTGAGTCTGAATTGGACTGAATCAGCTCTTCAAGCTCTGCTTCAAAGATGCCTGGGGCAGGGATGGGGGATGCACACACACTGGAAAAGCATGATGCCCCCTTCCTCCCTCCTCGTCGTCCTCCCCTCCAGCCTCCTCCTCACTCACTCCTCCCCAGCCTCCTCTGCCTCTCACCATCCCCCTTCCTTTGCCAGCTGATCCCCTTGAGTCCTTTCAGCAAGCAGGACCCCTGCCCTGGGCCCTGCCCCCCTGCAGATGTTCCTGCTGCTTGCATTCTCAACTCTGCTAATGAAGACTGCTCTAAGGGCTCCTCTTTCGTCCATCCGTTGGGATTTACAAGTGGAAAAGGCCAATGGCTATCACTCTAGCTCAACACATACCTTCCCCTACCGGACTCCGATTTTATAGATGATAAGTTCACTCACGATCACACACTGAATTAGTGGTGGAACCCATGGTCCTCTCTGGAATGATTCCTTGCCAGGCTGAGACACAGCAAACTTCCCTGCTGCTGCCTGCACTTGCTCACACCTCTAGACCTCTGGGTTCAGAGGCCAGACCTGGCCTGCCTTGACCAGTGACCACTCAAGTCTCAGCAAGGCCAGTGGCTGCAGAGTGGACAGAATTCCCTTTCCCAAGATTTGCTTTACCAAAGTCTGACTGCAGCATATCTCTCCCATAAAGTGAGAAAATCTTTACACAGTGCACCCCAAACTACAGATGGCATTTTTGTTCTCAAGTTCAGCCAGTCACAGATAAAGGGAAAGGGAAGATGGGAGAAAAATATTTTGCATTCATTCTTTTAAAAAACAACAGCACAAAACACCATCCTTCTTTCTTGTCTCAGGTTGAAGAGCTAGAGGAAAGAATCTTAACCAGTTAGCTAGATTTCCAGGTACCTGTGTATTTTTTTTTTTCAGCATCTTCAAATTACTGTGAGTCCTGAAGGTAAGAAAGCAGATGTCAAGCAAAACAAGAGAAAAACAATTGCCTCACGAATTCCCCCTGGGTTCTGGGTCCTAGGTTCTGGGTTCTGAAAGGATTTATTAAAATGATCTGTTTGTGTCTGGCTCCTGCTCTAAGATATGTCCTCCCAGAGAACCAGGATCAGGGACTCCAGATGAGAGAATACCTGCCCAGGTTATCCACCACACACAAAGCCCTTGCTGGACAGACCTCCCCCCAGACATCTTCATCATCAGTCCCACCTCTCTGACCTCATTTCTTAACACCACCCCCTCACTTACTCATTACACCCCACCCTCATTGCCTTCCTTGTTATTCCTTGGAAACTCTAAAATCACTCCTACCTCAGGGCCTTTGCACCTGCTGCTTCCTATGCCTGGCTCACTCTTCTTCCCAAAAAGGATGGCTAGATCTTTCAGCTCATTCAACTCCAACATCATCTGCTCAGAGACTGCCCTGACCATTCTCTTAAAAACCTCCATTTCACTCTATCCTTTTCCTTGCTTTACTTTTCTTCTTGTGCTTACCATTATGTGGAATTACATTACTTATCTATTTGTTTATTGGTTCTGTCTCACCTACTAGGATGTCAGATCCATGAGGGTAGAGATTTTTGTCTGTTTTATTGCTATATTCCCAATTCCTACCACAGTATCAGGCACATGATAGATACTCAATAACTATTTGTCTAATTAATTAATTAATCAATAAGGGAAAATATCTCTGGATCTCTGCTAGTCAGTTATAGATCGGTTTTAGAAGCAATTTCATGGGAATATTTGTTTTAAAAATCAGAGAAGTAAAGCGGGCTTAGTTGACCCAGCCATGTCCCTCCAAGATAGGCATAAGGATAAGAAACTGGAAAACAGATCAGGCACACAAAACTGGCTGAAGACCTGAATAACATCCATGGAGATCAACATGGAAAGCACACTTTAAAATATACCCCACCCCCAGGTGTACTGGGTAGCTCAGTGGGTTAAGTGTTGGACTCTTGATTTCAGTTCAGTTCATGGTCTCAGGGTTGTGAGATCAATCCTCATGTCAGGCTCCGTGGTGGGTGTAGAGCCTGCTTAAGATTCTTTCTCCCCGTTTCTCTCTCCCTCCCTCTCTAAAACTAGACTAAAATAAAGTAAAGTAAAGTAAAATAAAATAAAATAAAATATACCCCACCCCAAACACACACCTCCACCCCTATTTCTTTTGCTGTAAGTTAAAATCCAGATTATTCCAAAGAAAAAAAAAAGAAGAATGTTGATGGGTTTTGCTGCATTTACTCAGAATGTCAAAGAAGTGGAAACAATGTAAATGGTCCACAGTGCGGAGTTGTTAAAGAGATGAGTGCAGCACCTGCTAGTGGGCTCCGAAGCAGTGACTTCATGAGTATCGAGATGGTGTCGGAACATGGGAAATGACTACAATCCATGCAAAGTGAAAAGATCCTCTAATCTAATCCCATTAGGGATCCCATTAGGGATTATTTTTCCTTTAAAAAGATTGTGTGAAAATCACAGTTAGGGTCATAGTCACGGATGTTTTTCTTTCTCTTCTCCAAACTTCTGTCCTCTTTGTAGATCATCCTTATAATAACTATAGTTCATGTTTTCCAGGTTGTGCCAGTCGACAGAGAGACACAGAGTCAACAGAGAAGCC